AACGGCAGGCGGGGCGGCGGTTGGGCGGCGGTTGGTGGGGTGGGGGGACAGGTGAGGCGGGAGCCCAGCGCTGCACGGCCGCGCCCCGCTGCTGAGGCAGGAGCGCGCGCAGCCGGCGCCGGGTGCCTGCCAGAGCCGCCCTCACGACTCGGGGCTCACGTGGAGAGCGGTCGCTTTAGAGGACCGCCGGGTTTCTGCTCCTCCGTCCTGCAGATACACGAAACCGGGCAACTTTATGCCCTCTGCATCTCTCTTGAAGGAACCCGACGCCTGTGTGTCCTCTGTTTTAAAAATAGAGGACGTAGAGGCGCCTGGTTTCGTATCAGCAGAGGACGACTGGACTGTCCATAATTGTAGCCACCCTGCTGACATCTCCTGTGCGAACCATGCCAGCACTGGCGACGTGCACCCCCCGCAGAAAGCGCTGCCAACCCTGTCGGCAGTCACTGCTCACCCCCCGCCTCATTGCTGACACTGCCAGCGGCATTTGCAGGCCATCCCCAATTGCCGGTGACATCTGCAGGTGGTCACCACCCCGTTCTCCCCTGCCGCCAACACTGCCTGCAGGAGCTCCCCACCCACCACCGCCTGCGACGGTGACCACTCGTCACCCCCAAACCCCCTCACTGCTGACATTGCCGGTGGCACCTGCGGGTGGTCCCCAAAAACGACTGGCGGCATCTGCAGGTGGTCACCAACTGCCGGTCAGTGCTCGCCACACCTCTCCCCCTCACCGCCAACACTGCCGCAGCTGCCTGCAGGAGCTCCCCACTCGTCACCACTGTGACCCCGACACCGCTAGACCTGCCTGCAAGAGCTCCCCACTCGCTGCCACCGTGCCCCCAACACCGCCATAGCTGCCTGCAGGAGCTTCCCACTTGCCACCACCGTACCACTGACACCGCCATGGCTGCCTGCAAGAGCTCCCCGCTCACCAGCACCATGCCCCCAACACCACCACAGCTGCCCGCAGGAGCTCCCCGCTCCCCACCGCCATGCCCCCAGCACCGCCAAGGCTGCCTGCAGGAGCTCCCCACTCGCCACTGCCATGCCCCCCACACCGCCATGGCTGCCTCCAAGAGCTCCCCGCTTGCTGCCACTGTGCCCCCAACACCGCCATGGCTGCCTGCAGGAGCTTCCCGCTTACCACTGCCATACCACTGACACCGCCACGGCTGCCTGCAGGAGCTCCCCACTCGCCACCGCCATGCCCCCCACACCGCTATGGCTGCCTACAGGAGCTCCCCACTTGCCACCGCCATACCACCGACACCACCATGGCTGCCTGCAGGAGCTTCCTGCTTGCTACTGCCGTACCTCTGACATCGCCATGGCTGCCTGCAGGAGCTCCCCACTCACTGCCACCGTGCCCCCACCACCGCCATGGCGGCCTACAGGAGCTCCCCACTTGCCACCGCCGTACCACCACCACCACCATGGCTGCCTGCAAGAGCTCCCCGCTTGCCAGCACCATGCCCCCGACACCACCACAGCTGCCCGCAGGAGCTCCCCGCTCCCCACCGCCATGCCCCCAGCACCACCATGGTTGCCTGCAGGAGCTCCCTGCTCGCCACCACTGTTCCCCAACACCGCTGCAGCTGCCTGCAGAAGCTCCCCACTCACCACCGCCGTGCCCCCAACACCGCCGCAGCTGCCTGCAGGAGCTCCCCACTCACCACCATTGTACTCCCAACACCACCATGGCTGCCTGCGAGAGCTCCCCACTCACTGCCACCGTGCCCCCGACACTGCCGTGGCTGCCTGCAAGAGCTCCCCGCTCGCCACCACTGTGCCCCCAACACCGCCATGGCTGCCTACAGGAGCTCCCCACTTGCCACCGCTGTACCACCGACACGGCCATGGCTACCTGCAAGAGCTCCCCGCTCACCAGCGCCATGCCCCCAACACCGCCACAGCTGCCTGCAGGAGCTCCCCGCTCCCCACTGCCATGCCCCCAGCACCGCCACAGCTGCCTACAGGAGCTCCCTGCTCGCCGCCACTGTGCCCCAACACCGCTGCAGCTGCCTGCAGGAGTTCCCCGCTCGCCACCGCCGTGCCCCCAACACCATCATGGCTGCCTGCAGGAGCTCCCTGCTCGCCACTGCCGTGCCCCCAACACTGCCGAGGCTGCCTTCAGAAGCTCCCCACTCACCACCACCATGCTCCCAACACCACCATGGCTGTCTGTGAGAGCTCCCCACTTGCTGCCACTGTGCCCCCGACACCGCCATGGCTGTCTGCAGGAGCTCCCCGATCGCCGCCACTGTGCCCCCAACACCACCATGGCTGCCTGCAGGAGCTCCCTGCTCGCAACCGCCATGCCTCCCACACCACCATGGCTGCCTGCAACAGCTCCCCGCTCACCACTGCCATAACCCCAACACCGCCACAGATGCCTGCAGGAGCTCCCCGCTCCCCACTGCCATGCCCCCAGCACCGCCACGGCTGCCTACAGGAGCTCCCTGCTCGCCGCCACTGTGCCCCAACACCACTACAGCTGCCTGCAGGAGTTCCCCGCTCGCCACCGCCGTGCCCACAACACCATCGCGGCTGCCTGCAAGAGCTCCCCACTCGCTGCCACTGTGCTCCCAACACCGCCATGGCTGCCTACAAGAGCTCCCCACTTGCCATCGCCGTACCACCGACACCGCCACAGCTGCCTGCAGGAGCTCCCCGCTCCCCACTGCCATGCCCCCAGCACCGCCACAGCTGCCTACAGGAGCTCCCTGCTCGCCGCCACTGTGCCCCAACACCGCTGCAGCTGCCTGCAGGAGTTCCCCGCTCGCCACCGCCGTGCCCCCAACACCATCATGGCTGCCTGCAGGAGCTCCCTGCTCGCCACTGCCGTGCCCCCAACACTGCCGAGGCTGCCTTCAGAAGCTCCCCACTCACCACCACCATGCTCCCAACACCACCATGGCTGTCTGTGAGAGCTCCCCACTTGCTGCCACTGTGCCCCCGACACCGCCATGGCTGTCTGCAGGAGCTCCCCGATCGCCGCCACTGTGCCCCCAACACCACCATGGCTGCCTGCAGGAGCTCCCTGCTCGCAACCGCCATGCCTCCCACACCACCATGGCTGCCTGCAACAGCTCCCCGCTCACCACTGCCATAACCCCAACACCGCCACAGATGCCTGCAGGAGCTCCCCGCTCCCCACTGCCATGCCCCCAGCACCGCCACGGCTGCCTACAGGAGCTCCCTGCTCGCCGCCACTGTGCCCCCAACACCACCATGGCTGCCTACAGGAGCTCACCGCTGCCATGCCCCAACACTGCTGCGGCTGCCTGCAGGAGCTCCCTGTTCGCCACCGTTGTGCCCCCAACACCGCTGTGGCTGCCTACAGCAGCTCCCTGCTCGCCACTGCCATGCCCCCAACACCGCTGTGGCTGCCTGCAGGAGCTCCCCGCTCGCCACCGCTGTACCCCCAACACCATCATGGCTGCCTGCAAGAGCTCCCCACTCAACGCTACTGTGCCCCTGACACCGCCATAGCTGCCTGCAGGAGCTCCCCGCTCGCCACCGCCAGGCCCTCACCACCACCTGCAGGCGGTCACCATACCCCCCAGCTTCCCAGGGCATGCGGCATTCAGACATCCCAAGCATCATCTGGAGGCTGCCCTCAAGCTGACGTTCACACACAGATTTGCTGCAGTTTAGGGCTGGAAGGGACCTCCTAGGGGTCCAGCCCCTCCTAGTTGTTTATTTTGCAACAGCAATGGACAGATAAAAACGGCAACCCCCCTATTAAATACACCCCAACCTGCCCCAGGGGAAGCAGGGCAGCCAACTCCTGCTGCTGTGAAATGTTGTCAGCCCACACTCAGGAGATCTGAGTAGAGGAAGCCAAGATCAGTTCCTTTCTCTTGCACAGTTAAAGTAACTGCATAGTGAATACACCTGCCTATTTGCTCACTTCAAGCATTCACAAATCAGGAGTCCAAAATAATAAGATTTAAATCTTACCCCATGGGGAACATTTGCCTTCCTAACCTCAGATATGGAGATTGGTCTGACCCTGAGCAGAGGGGCAAACCCTCTAGCTAGAAACATTCCCAGTGCAAGAGGCTCACAAAGCAGGCTTCTGGCAGTTGCCAGATCCAGCATATTTTTGGCTGCAGACCTCTACGGTCTTCATGGACAAGGGACAAACACAGCGGCTGCTCCCTCTCAAGTGTGAAAAAAAACCTGATCCTGGTACAGAAGCGCTTGACAAATCCAACTGTGGAGGTAGGTACAACAGGGCCTAGCTCATTTTGTTTTCACCAAGCTCCCCAAAGTGTTTCTCTCTAGACAGACAGCCAGGGCAGCCAGTAGATAAATCTGTACCCAATGCACTGCGTTTTACTGAAGTCACAGCAACCCAGATCTGACATTTTTATCTTTTTTTTCATACAGCCAAATTTCATCCCATGACATTTTGCAGTGGAAGCCGTCTAGCAAATATAAGTGATTGTAGAAAGTGTTTTTGCTGGTCTGCTCTTTATTAGGGTTCTCATAGCTGTCTAGGGGTGTTCCTGGACATCTTCTATCATTTGAAACATTTTAACAGCAGATTTAAGGGGCAAATAGACTCTGCTGGTAAGTCATAATGCATTGGATATGATTGAATGAATTGGGATCTGCATTTTGGGGAATTTAGGTACATCTGAGAATTTTTTTTTTCCCCAGAATGAACT